CTGAGCCGAAGTTGGACGCTTAACTGACTGAGCCACCCAGGCACCCCAATCATTTTATTTTTTTTAAGTTTATTTATTTATCTTGAGAGAGAGCGAGCATGAGCAGGGTAGGGGCAGAGTGGGGGGAGAGAGAATCCCAAGCAGGCTCCGAGCTGTTAGCACAGAGCCCAGTGTGGGGCTAGAACTCATGAACCGTGAGATCGTGACCTGAGCCGAAATCAAGGGTCAGATGCTTAGCCGACTGAGCCACTTGGGCACCCCAAGTATACAGATATATTATAAAGAAGTAGCAGTGGGAACTGAATATCTAAACACTTCTTTCAAGATGGTTGTCACTTAGACATCTTAGAAAGTTGCAAGCTCATTCTGTGCTCTAAGAGTGAGACTGGAATTTGTATTTAAGGAACTCTCTTTGGTTCTGGAAAGTGCTGCTTTGGCATGCCTTCCTAGTTAAGAAGATACAAAGCAATACATTGCGATATAATCATAATGATAGATAAGCAATGTACAACAGACTATATATGTTCAACAGGAGTTCTGAGAAGGGAGAGGATTGGAATAGTTAAAATGTCAATACTACCCAAAGCAATCTACACATTTAATGCAATCCCAGTCAAAATTGCACTGGCATTCTTCTCAAAGCTAGAAGAAACGGTCCTAAAATTTGTGTGGAACCACAAAAGACCCCGAATAGCCAAAGTAATGTTGAAAGAGAAAACCAGAGCTGGAGGCATCACAATCCCAGACTTTAGCCTCTACTACAGAACTGTAATCATCAAGACAGTATGGTCATTGGCACACAAACAGACACATAGACCAATGGAATAGAATAGAGAACCCAGAATTGGACCAACAAATGTATGGCCAACTAATCTTTGACAAAGCAGGAAAGAACATCCAGTGGGAAAAAGACAGTCTCTTTAGCAAATGGTGCTGGGAGAATTGGACAACAACATGCAGAAGAATGAAACTAGACCACTTTCTTACCGAATACACAAAAGTAAACTCAAAATGGATGAAAGACCTCAATGTGAGACAGGAAACCATCAAAACCTTAGAGGAGAAAGCAGGCCACGACCTCTTTGACCTCAGCCGCAACAATTTCTTGCTCAAGTCTCCAGAGGCAAGGGAATTAAAAGCAAAAATGAACTATTGAGACCTCATCAAGATAAAAAGCTTCTGCACTGCAGAGGAAACGATCAACAAAACTAAAAGGCAACCGACGGAATGGGGAAAGATGTTTGCAAATGATGTATCGTATAAAGGGTTAGTATCCAAAATCTATGAAAGAACTGACCAAACTCAACACCTGAAAAACAAATAATCATCCAGTGAAGAAATGGGCAGAAGACATGAATAGACATGTTTCTAAAGAAGACATCCTGATGGCAAATAGACACATGAAAACATGCTCAACATCACTCATCATCAGGGAAATACAAATCAAAACCACAATGAGGTACCCCCTCACACCAGTTAGAATGGCTAACATTAATAAGGCAACAACAGATGTTGGCAGAAGATATGGTTTATATGTACAGTGGAATACTACTTGGCAATGAGAAAGAATGAAATCATGCCATTTGCAGCAATGTGGATGGAACTTGAGAAACTTAACAGAAGACCATGGGGGAAGGGAAGGGAAGGGGAAAAATAATTACAAACAGGGAGGGAGACAAACTATAAAGAGACTCTTAAATACAGAGAACAGACTGAGGGTTGATGGGAGGGCAGGGGAGAGAGGAAAAATGGGTGATGGGCATTGAGGAGGACACTTGTTGGGATGAGTATTGGGTGTTGTATGTAAGCTGTGAATCATAGGAATCTACCCCCAAAACCAAGAGCACACTGTATACACTGTACATTAGCCAATTGACAATAAATTATATTTTTAAAAAAGGGGAGGTTTTCAAGTTCACTCTTAAAGTAGTGTTCAGTGTCTGTTTCATACCTCCTTTACCAAATGTATCAAACTCTTTGTTATTAAATGGACATTTTAGAGTCATTGTCTTGTCTGCACAGCAATATTGACATTTTTAACTTCTCAAACACTCTTTTCCTTTAATTTTAGTGACAGCTAATTCTTCTTGGCTTTCTTGTGTCTCTGATCCTTTTCCATCTAATTGATAATATTATTAATACTAATCATATTTATTTTTGAATACTAGTCATATTTAAAATTGCTGTTTTCTGTGTACTGTCCCATACATGTAACATATTTAACTCTTAGAACAACTGTGTGTACCTATCACTATTATCTCCGAAAAAATGATGTGTGGAGATGAAGTGACTATTCTAAGATCTGTAGCTAATAAAGGGGCTGAGCTATAACTCATACCCAGGAAATGTTTTCAGAGCCTGTTTCTTTTTTTCAATTTCCCTTTCAGATTATTTGTTTTTACTACATTGAAATGTCACTGATTTTTGTGTATTAATTTTGTGTCCTGCAACTTTGGCATTTGTTCTGATGTGCTTTTTTTGTGGAATCTTTAGGGTATTATTTTACATGTAAGATCATGTCATCTGTGAACAGGGATAATTTTACTTCCTACTTTCCATATAAAGGCTTTCCATATAAGCCTTTTTTTTTCCTTGCCTAATTACTCTAGATAGAACTTGCAGTATGATGTTGAATACAGGTGATAAAAGTGGGCATCATTACCTTGTTCCTCATCTTAAAGGGAAAGCTTTCAGTTTTTCACTGTTGACGATGATGTTAGCTGTGGACTTTTCATATATGGCTTTTGTTATTTTGAGAAAATTGTTATCTGTTCCTAGTTTGTTGTGTGTTTTTGTCTCGAAACAGTGTTGAATTATGTCAAATGATTGTTCTTCATTGATACATTTGTGTGATTTTTATGCTTTGTTTTACAGACTTGCTATATATCATATTGATTTTTGTATGTTGAAACATACCTTGCATCCCAGGGATAAATCCCACTTGGTCATGCTGTATTATCCTTTTAATATATTCTTGGATTTGGTTTGTTATTATTTTGTTGAGGAATTTTGTATTTGTATTCATCAGGGATATTGTAGTTTTCTTTACTTGTGGGGTCTGTGTGGCTTTGGTGTGAAGGTGATGTTGGCTTCATAAAATGAGTTTGGGTGTGTTCCCTCTTCAATTTTTGGAAGGGTTTGAGAAAGATTCGTGTTAACTAATTCTTCGTTACATATTTGGTAGAATTCCCCATTGAATCTGTTTGGTCCTAGGCTTTTCTTTGTTGAAAGGTTTTTGATTACTGATTCACTATCTTTACTAGTTATAGGTGTGTTCAGATTTTCTACTTCTTCATGATTCAGTCTTGGTAGGTTATGTATTTCTAAGAATTTTATCTATTTCTCCTAGGTTATCCAACTTGTTGGTATTTCTGTGGTGTCAGTTGTAGTATTGCCTCTTTCACTTCTGATTTTGAGTTATCTCTCCTTTTTTCTTAGTCTAGTTAAAGGTTTTTCAGTTTGTTGACCTTTTCTAAAAATTCCTTTTTATATTTTTTTCCTATTGTTTCTCTATCCTCTGTTTACATCTATTTGAGATTTTTATTTCCTTCTGCTGACTTTGGGCTTATTTTTTCTTTTTCTGGTTCCTTGCAGTGTAAAGTTAGGGTTTGTTTTTGAGATTTTTTTTTCTTTTCTTAATGTAGTATTTACCTTATAAACTTCTCTCCTAGTATTGCTTTTGCTACATCCCATAAGTTTTGATATGTTATGTTTTTGTTTGTTCTAGGTATTTTCTGATTTCCCTTTTGATTTCTTCTTTGATCCATTTATTGTTTAATTTTCATACATTTGAATTTTCCAGTTTTCTTTGTGTTATCAAAGTTTATTCCATTGTGGGCAGAAAAGATAGTTGGTATGATTTTAGTCTTCTTAAGTTATTATGACTTATTTTGTGATCTAATATGTGATCTGTCCTGGAGAATATTCCATGTACAGTTGAGAAGAATGTGTATTCTTTTGCTATTGGGTGGAATGTTCTGTGTATGTCTGTCAAGTTGATTTACTCTGGAGTGTTATTCAAGTTGTCTGTTTCGTATTGATATTCTGTCTGGATGTTTTATCCCTCTTGATACTGGAGTATTGAAATCTCTTACTGTGTTGCTATCTATTTCTTTCCTTAGTTCCATCTTTGTTTGCTTCAAATATTTGGGTGCACTGGTGTTGAATGTATATGTAATTGTTACATCTTCCTGATGACCTGACCCTTTCATCATTATATAACATCCTTTTATGCCTCTTGTTAGTTTTTGACTTAAAATCTATTTTGTTTGATATAAGTATGGCCACTCCTGCTCTCTTTTGGTTATATTTGCATGGAATATCTTTTCACCTTTACTCTCATCTTCTGTATGTCCTTAAATCTAAAGTGAGTCTGTTGTAGACAACAAATGGTTGGATCTTTTTCTGATAAATGTATCGACTCTGTCTTTGATTGCTGACTTTAGTTCATCTACATTTAAAGTAATTACTGATACGGAAGACTTACTGTGTCCATTCTCTTATTTGTTTTTGACTGTCTTAGAGTTTTCTGTCACTTTGTTCCTCCTGTTGTCTTCCTTTGTGTTTTGATTTCTTTCTCTTTTCCTTTTGTGTCTCTTCTCTAGGTATTTTCTTTTTGCTTAACCATGGGTCTTATATAAAACATCTTATAGTTTTGACAATCTATATTAAACTGATAACACTTCAGAAATCTATTCTTTCACGTCTCTCTCCCTTCTACATTTTGTTATCAACATCACAAATTACATCTTTTTATTGTGTATCTTATGAATCCATTTTTGTAGTTATAGTTATTTTTATACTTTTGTCTTTTAACTTCTGTACTAGAATTGTTATTTTTAGTCTTTATTTTTAATTTTTTTTAAAAACAGTTTGTGGAGTTTAACATTTGTTATGTACACTTTTTGTGACTTAAGTTCTAAATTTTATGTAAAACTTTTTCATGAAAACTTCTGTAAGTTAAGTAAATCTAATAAATAATTTTTTTGTTGTTTAAACAGAATTCTGAGACTGATGGTCAGCCATATAGAAGAATACATTGAACCTATAGTTTTCTGAAGAAGCAATTTAAAAGATCCAAAAAACACAAAAGGTAATGAAGGTTGTATCTTAGAATATACTTTGGATTGACATTTTTCCAGCAAAATATATAAATTAATCCATAAACTGTTTTGACACACTAATTTGAGGAATGTTTTATTAAAAATTTTTTCCTATTTATATTACTTTATTTCAAAACATGTATTGTATCCACTATATTTAGATACTGTTTTAGATACTGAGAATGCAGTGATAAACAAGACAGAAGCTGTCCCTGCTCTCATTATGGTTGCATTCTAAAGAGAGGGAGGACAAATAAACCAGTGAAACATTTGTCGTTAGTTCAATGCACAGAATTAAAATAAATAATGTGTTACAGAGACTGGTGACTGCTTTCATTATTGAAAGACATAAATATTTGAAAGCCCTCACTGAAGAAGAACATTTCAGTTAAGATATGAATGGCAGGAATGTGCCAGCCTTGTGAAGATCTGAAAGAGGAGATTTACAAGCAGTGAAACCAAAATGACCATAGAATGCTTGAGGAACGGAAAGAGAAAATGTGACTGGAGTATAATAAACGAGGGGAAGAGTATATGGAATTGAGGTTCGAGAAGAAATCTTGGCAAGGAGCAAATTTACAGAGAAAGTCAAGTGTTCTGTTTTGCTGTACAATATTTTAGACACCTGTAAATTCTGTAGAAATATCAAAAAGGTAGCTGGATATAAGACTCTGAAGTTAAGAATCATGTCTAAGGGTGTGGATTTGGGAGTTATTGGCACAGAGAAATACTTAAAGGCATATGTCTAGATGAAATTATATAGGAAGTGTACATAGATTGAGAAGGATTTATCCTTGGGACGTGCCAGTGTTAGAGGAGAAGGAACAACCAGTGAGATGAGTGAGAAATCAGGAAAGTGTTCTGTTGCAGAAGGCAAAAAGAGAAAAGTATTTAATAAATGTAGAAGTGATTAGTTACATCATATGCTACTATGAAGTAAAATAGAGAGTAGACCAAAGCAACCATTATTGCATTTGGCAGCATGAATGTCCTTTAACCTCTAATAAGAGTGAACAGTCTCAGCGGTAGTGGTGAGGGTGAAAGCCTGATTAAAATTGATGAAGAGGAAATGGGGGAATTTCCAGTTAAAGATGGCAAAAGAAATGCAATTAAATTCCTGTTTTTTTTCCCTTGAAACTCCATTAAAGCTAAAGTAAAGGGATGGTTTTTTTTTTTTTCTTCTTCTTTTAAAACAAAAGGCCTAACTTCACAAGAGCAAACAGAAGGGGACAGGAAACAAATGCAAAAAAAATTTGGAGCCTGAAAAACAAAAGAAAGTCTGGTATCTGTCTTACAGACCCTAGAACCCTGAGCCAGCTGTGAGAATGCTGAGACTAAACTTAACAGCATTATAGAGCCTCTAAAATGTCAGGAATGGACAGCGCTCTTTACTTCTGCAAATAGAAATACGAGTGGAAGTAAAAAGAGGCCGATATGTTGCCAGTCTGTCTAAGAGGTGATTATACTCCATAAACCCTTTTCTTGACCTTGGAGTAGCAAGCATCTACCCCTTCCTTATCTTAGCAGAAGACTAGAGATTTATTTTCTAGCAAGGATAAAATTGACATGCAGCAAACATGGTTGAGAATGGGAGTGCCATGTTGAAAATAGAGGGATTAAGAACGTAGGCTACCAGATTTTTATAATTTTTCAGTCAGTAGTTTAGAAGATTTTTCTCTGGAAATTGTAACCAGCCTAAGAGAAAAGAGCTGAAGATACTGACTTAAAAGAATTTCCCCAAAGAAATATTCCAACCTGATACCTCTGCTAAAGTTCATAGTCAGTAAGACCTATCACAAAGAATTTCAGTGATCTTTTTAGACCCCACCCTTAAATGATTTGGTGCCTAGAGATCTCTAAGCATTATAGGAAAACCTGTTATGTGAGAGCCAAAGACCATGCCAAAAGAACTTACCAAGTTAGGGGAAATGGAGACCAGGTAGGTAAAATTTACCCCATTTACAGCAGGTAAAAACTGAAACAAATACAAAATTATTACCTAATGGTTTCAGAGAAGTTGGAAGGGAGATGCTAAATTTATGAAATGTGAAAGAAAAACAAATTAGAAATGAAGAACTCAAGAGTGGAAAAATAAAGCTAATATATCGAGAGTAAAACAAAGTTAAAATGGGAGAGAAAAATATAAAATTGGAGCAACTGTCAGAATCTCTAATGTTGAAATAATGGGAGTTATGGAAAGGGAGAAAAGAGGGAAATAGGAGAAATAAAGAATTGAGAATGATTCAACAAAACTGTCCAGAATTAGAGGACATAAGTTTCCAAGTGGAAAGATCCTATACTGTGACCACTATGGATGTGGAAATAAGTCCAAAATAGGACATATCGCGGTTAAAATGTAAAACATAGAGGAGCTTCCAGAGTAAGAGAAGTAGGTCACATGTAAAGATCAATAATCAGAATGGCTTTGGGCTTCTTGAGAATACTCTGGAAACTAGAAGACAATGGAGCCTTCTCGTAAGTCTCAGGGAAAACTTATTTCCAACCCAGTATTCAGTATGTAGCTAAACTATTGATTAAGTATGATTGATGACAGTTTCAGACTTGTGATTTCTAAACTGCTTATCTGCCATGACCCCTTTCTTGGGGTGTTATATTTGGAGGTACTCAACAAAATAAGTAAACTAAAAAAGATGAAAGCATAGGATATAAGAAACAGAAAATGCACCTTTAGTAGAGACCCAGAAAATCACCAGGAAGATTATGTATAATGATCCCAAGATGACTGCTGGTTGTAGAGAGCATCTAGTCCCAACAGGAATAGGTCAAAGGACACCAAGGTAAATAGCTTTGAGATTATGTTGGTAGAATGTGTAATGTGTTTGAAGATGTTAGGAGATTTAGACAGGAAAAAGTTTGGGGCTGAATTGGTGATAGGTGTATAGGAAAGTAAGTCAACAATAAAACAATTATTAACTCCAGGGAAAATTATTTAGAAAGGGGAAGTAATTGTAGTATGCTGTATGGCTCAGTTGTGAATTGCATTTACAGAGTCATAATAATGTTAACTCTGAATAAAACCACCTAGCCAAAAGTATGATATTGGGAATTTGGGCAAGTGTGCATGTAAATGAGGTAAGGATCGGGAGTCAAAAAGAATTAAATTTTTCTTAGTGGAGTTCAGTAGATGATGCCTAAAAAAGACTGTCTTGAGAGCAAAAGGAGACACTTTTAATAATTACATTGGGACAGCTTGAATAAGTTGGGAGCGTGTAGACAACCTACCTAAAACAGAAGGAATCAAGAAGTAGCAAAATAAAGGATATCAGAGAGTTAACCGCCTGCAGAGACAGTTCAAGGGGTGAAAGTGGTGGAAAGTGGGAATTGGGGGATCAGAGAACAGAGGACTTCCAATTTTTTAGTAAGTCTTGTAAAACTAGGTGGACACTTTAGATTTTGAACATGTATACACTGGTGAAAATAAACACTACATTTTAAAGTAAGGGAGAGAAGGGAATTAAAGATGTTCAAACAGCAAATGTACCCTGCCATGCAGTTTTCCTGTGAAAGGGAGCAGAAAAGGAGGGCAGTACCTGAAGGGGTTGGTGGGTCAGGGGTGGTTTTTGTTTTGTTTTTAGGGTAAAATACTAAGATGTTGATCAGAAAAATCCATTTTTTAAGGGAGAAATTCGTGATGTAGGAATGGAAAGCCTTGAGGGTGACAGCAACTGCGATTCAGAGGACTAGAATCATGTCATTAGATACTGCACAGTTTATTTTTAATACAGAATGTGTTGTTTCATGTATAAGGGTTCTTTTCCAAAGATTTCCAGGCTCTGAGATTTTCTGTTAATTATATTTAATGTTGCATGCTGAATTAAAAACATATCTGCTTCTGTATTTGGCAGACTTTGAATGGTTTATAAAATTTCTTAGTTCTTAATGTCTCCCCATTTCATAAATATTTGTAAAGCTTGTTTTTAAACTGATATTTATAAAAGACTTATGCCATCCTTGCCCTCTGTCATCATAAAGTAATAATAACACTGGAGAGCTGGGAAGTCCTATCGCTGAATGACGTTGAGCTCAAGTTGCTTATGTAAAGGAGCATTTGATTCCTACATGTAACTTGATCTTGGTAATTTAATTTGTGAACTTTGAATCCCAGAAACTGTAACTGATCCTTTCCAAGACACATTATTGCATACTATGCTGTCAATATTTAAGAAAGAAGACTTTTAATAATAAAATTTGATCTGTATTAGATTATGCACTTGAAATTCCTTGCTGTGTGTAGGGACACAGCATATCTCCTAAAACAGAATCATTTTAGGATCCATAGCATGAATCGTTTAGAATCCGTAGCATGTGCAGGTGTGACTCTGGATGGTTTTTTTTGTACTGAAAATGTGAGGCCTAGGGTAGTCCCCAGATAGGACCTTTTGGCTGTTCCACCATTACTTTGTTTTGAATTAATTTGACACTTTATTTAAAGAAGTTAGAGGGAATTTTTACCCAGTTGGCTCTAGAGTACTTCGTTCCACCTATTTCACTTCTTCCTTACCTTTTCCTTAAATATAGTATGTCACTTGGCTAGAAAAGTAGACAAAAGATCTTGGACTAGACTGTTAAAGATATAGTCTTAATTTGTTCACTTAGCACAATAAATGTTTGGAAGAATACTGTTACCAACATTAGTAAAATAGCCTAATAAAGCATTAGCTTGTATCTTCTAAACCATTTTGGGTTCAATCAGGTTGGCCCTTCCTATAGTCTAAGCCCTAATTCTTGGGGTCTTTTTTTTTTTTTTTTTTCCTAATTTTCCCTATTTTCTACCTTTTGATAATTAAAGAAGCATAGTCTTGGTTCCATATAAAAAAGGATCGGATCTGGCCTTTTAACTTTAAAATTGTTCTTTTTTAATTCACCCAACATGACTGTTACCTTTCCACTGTTCTTTTTGTTCCAGTCATAGAACTAATTTGTTATTACCATGATAGGTATGTCTCTTAGACCAGAGGGTTGTAGTTAG